CTCCTGTGTGTTTTGCCGTAATCCTGCGTGTTCTGCCGTGCACCTGCGTGTTCTGCGTGTTCTGCCGTGCACTTGCGTGTTCTGCCGTGCTCCTAGGTGTTTTGCCGTGCTCCTATATGTTATGTGTATTATGCCGCGTTTCTCGTGCTCCTGTGTGTTACGCCGTGCTCCTGTGTGTTATGTTGTGTTCCTGTTTGTTTTGCCGTGCTCCTGCGTGTTCTGTCGTGTTCCTGTGTGTTCCGCCGTGCTCTCGCGCGTGTTGCCTGCCGTGTTTCTGCGCGTTGGGTCGCCGTGATCCTGCCCCTGATCTGAAGGTGCCTCGGGCGAAAGAACTCCGTCTGAACACGCATGGTCATCCTTTTCAACACTTCATGTGTTCGGCGATGTCCCAAGCGATATCCCAATGTCCATACGTTTGTTAAGTTCGCGGCTGCGTCCATCTATGTTTCCTGGTGGCTGTCTCAAGCGAAATGTTCTTTTTGCGATAGCCAGTGTTGCGGACAACGAATGATAGTGAGGATGTATCGAACGAACTGCTAAATTTGAGGGACATCGAAGGCGTTATTGGGGTCATGTTGGGCCTCGTGTGGGGTTCGTTTGGTGTTGCCTCGATGCTATATATATAGTATGTATATATGTGTGTATACATACATATATATATGTATATGTATATGTATCTATGTATATATATACATATATACGTATAAGTAAATGCCCATGCGACGTCACCCACACATCTGTTTTGAGGATGTCCCTAGCGTGCTCGTCATGTGTAGTAGCCTGGCCTTCTGGAAGCCTTTTTAAAAAAGAGCAATCCCAAGACGATGTTAGAACAACAATTGGTTTAAACGATGCGGGCGCTGTTAAATATACATTGAAGTCCGCTTGGGTTCTCAATAATTCCTGTTAAAGCACTGCACGAACGATGTCGAGAGGACGTTGAGAACAGTCCCCAGCGAGCCGCACATGTTCTGCCGTGTTGTTTTTGTTTCTGGTCCGCCGTGTTGCCAGGCATTTGCTGAGGATGTCCCTAGCGAAGACGCCGTTTTCAACATAAGCAGCAGTAAAGCACCTCCGTCTTCATCTCATGTTTGTGAGGATGTCTCAGGCGAAACGCGAATTTGTACAGATGAATGAATTTCGCGGCTGTCAGTTGTTCGAGGATGTCTCGAGCGAGACGCTCGTTTCTGTTAAACGCGATGTCGCGGGGATGTCAGTTGCGTGAGGATGTCTCCGGCAAAATCGCCATTCAGGGGGATCAGCTAACCCTGTCTCCCGCGCAGCCAGCCACCCACCATTTGTAAGAAATTGTAAAGGTGTTGCAGATTCAGCCTCAACGTCCAGCTCGCTTCTCGTACCTCGAAGACGCTGTCTTGAGGGCGCAACCCCAACGCTGAGGTCTCGCGAGCACTCACAGAGCCAACCGCAAGGTCGGCCCGCGCGCGTACGCACCCACGGACGCAACATTCGAAGCTTACCACCCTCTGGTGAGAAGCTCGCCCATCAGCACGCGACCATCTGGCCACGGGCTGGCGGCGAGCAGTGATTTTCAAACGGCGCAACACATCATGTGCAGGAGAAGCATCGTGCAGCATAGCGGGAACCGCCCTTACCAGCAATGCGAAGTTGGCAACGCTCCAGGCTATTCCAGGGCAGGGCTGCGGGCCGAGCCAAACTCAGTCACCAACGCAACGGGCCAAGAAGAGGCACAAGCGCTGGAAAAACACAAAACTAAACCAGGCGCCTGCAGCAGGCTTTACTGAAGAAGTGAGCACTGGTGCATGCAACCTGGTGGACTCACCTGAAGAGACGCTTCCCGTCATCCGCCGACCCCTTGGGGTTCATCGGCGTGTGAAGTGCTTCCCCCTCCCCAAACCCCTCCCCCGGGAACCCGGCCCGGTCGATTTGGAAAGAGGGGGTCCCCCGGGGACCGCCCGAACGCGACATAGGGTGAGGGACAGGGGGCCCCAAAACGGGCCAAGAGGGCCCGAAGAGGGTCCCCGGACTGTCCAAGAGGGGCACGAGTCGCGGAAAGATCGCGCCAAGACGCCCAAGATTGACCCCAGACGGCCCCAGAGGCCCCCAAGACGTTCCAAGAAGTCGCCGCGGGGCGTTCCAAGAGGCCTTCAGGGAGCAGACATCGCCCCACTCCCTTAGGAACACATGCATGTTTCCCCATATCCTAAGATGGGGTTCTTGTTATTACTTGGACGCCTCCTACTCCTCCTCCTCCCTCCTCCTCTTTCCTCCCCCCCTCCTGTCGGAGTTACTCATACTCAGACTTGCTCATACACAGACTTACTCATACTCAGACTTACTCATACTCAGACCTACTCATACTCAGACTTACTCACACTCAGACATACTCATACACAGACTTACTCATACACAGACTTACTCATACACAGATTTGGAGGATGTCTCGAGCGAGGCGCTCATTTCAGCACCCCTAAGGGGAGCCGCCAGGGGTGTTTGCACGGGCTCGTTCGCGGCCATTTTGTGGGGATGTCTCAGGCGGTTTGCCTGTTTCTGGGCCCAACATCCTTCGCTTTCGGAGCAGATTTGGAGGATGTCTCGAGCGAGGCGCTCATTTCAGCACCCCTAAGGGGAGCCGCCAGGGGTGTTTGCACGGGCTCGTTCGCGGCCATTTTGTGGGGATGTCTCAGGCGGTTTGCTTGTTTCTGGGCCCAACATCCTTCGCTTTCGGAGCAGATTTGGAGGATGTCTCGAGCGAGGCGCTCATTTTCACCCCCAGGTGGGCCAGATGTTGAGGATGTCTCGATCGGTTTGCTTGTTTTGGTGGCCAGGCTCGTGGGCGCAGATTCTTCTCAGGATGCCACAGGAGGCTCCAACAGGCTCCAGGAGGCCCCAGGAGACCACATGAGGTCCCAGGAGGCATCAGGAGGCCACAGAAAGACTCAAGAGGCCACAGGATGTCCCAAGAGGCTCCAGGAGGCCCCAGGAAGCTCCAGAAGGCCTCAGGAAACCACAGGAGGCCCCAGGAGGCAACAGGAAGCGCCAGGAGGCCTCGGAAGGCAACAGGAGGCCCCGAGAGGCCCCAGGAGCAGGAGGCCTCAGAAGGCAACAGGAGTGGCTCCAATCCCATGTGTTTTACGTATGCTCCTATCGATTGGGCCTCACCTGGAGCACGATTCTTTGATGTTCTACGTATGTTTCTATAGATGGTCCTTCTCCTGTGTACACAATCCTAAATGTTTTACTCATGTTACTATGTATTGGGCCTCTCCTGGGGCACGAGTCCTTGGTGTTTTACGCGTGTTCCTATAGATTGCCCTTCTCCTGTGGCTCTAATCCGCAATGTTTTATGTACGTCTGTTGCTATAGATTGCGCCTCTCCTGAGGCACGAAACCTTCCTAGGAGGTCCCAGGAGGTCCCAAGAGGCTCCTGGAGAACCCAGGAAGCCCCAGTAGGTTTCAGGAGGCCCCAGGAGGCCCCAGGCTCATGCACAGAGACGCGCTCGTACTACTGAGGCTCATTCACACTCCAATTCATTCGCAGTTAGATTGATGTCCAGACCGTCACAACTGAAGCCCGTTAATATTCGAAAGCTCTTGCGCCTAGACATTCACGGCGGACAGGTCCATGCGAGTAGATGCACATGTGGGGAGCTCCACGCAGTGAATAATTATTAGCACATTCGCCTCCTCTGCTTTCGCAAGGCCCACCCAGGTCGACGTGGCCTTCGAGATCGACCCAAGACGGGCCAAGGGGCCCCCACGAGGGCTCGAAGACGGCACACGAAGACCCAGAGGGCGGCCCCAGGGGGGGGGGGGCCCAGAGGGGGAGCCCGAGCGGACATGTCGAGCTCCCGCCCCCAGGATGCCCCCAAGAGCCCCCAAGAAGCTTCCAAGAGGCCCCCACGGAGCGCCAAAAGGGCCCCGACAAAAAGCCCCCAGACGCCGCCAGGAGGCCCCCAACAGGTTCAAAAACTGCCTCCCCGACGCTCCCGACACGCCTCCCACGCGACCCCATCAGCCATCCGAGCGGCGAGGCACGGCGGCGGGGTGTGCCCAAGGCCATGCGATACTCATCCTCCTGGCATTTTGAAAAACGCCCACCGTCTGCAAACGTGGGTTCTCGTCCGATGCCTCATGCGTGCACGGCGAACACCGAAAATGCTAGCCGCAGAGATCGCTACTGGCGGTGCGGGCGGAGCAGCCATTGGCCCCCCAAAGGCGCACAAGAGGCCCTCTGGAGCAACACACAACAACCGCCAGTTCTCCAAGGGGTCGGCGGCGTGGCGCAAGCTTAAGAATCGTTCGAACGCCCTTGCGCGCGTGCTGTCGCAGCCATCCCTTGCAACAAAACATGACGAAGTGCACGCGCGCGCGTCGTCGCGCGCGCGTGCAGAAATCCATCACAGACCTTAGGTTTCGCAGGGGGGTCAAAACCGAGTTCCCCGAAAAAACAAATACAAGCACATGGTTTCGCAACATCACTGTTCAAAAAAAGTTTGCGCTCGCGCTCCTGCGGATTTTTTAGCAAACCATATGGTTCTCAACATGTTAATAAAATTCGGCCAACTGGCCTCTGGTATCAGTATCTTTTCCTCCTCTGAGTGAGAATTGTAGCGCTGAAATGGAAGGTGTGAAAGGGCACCGGGGCCCGGGTCATCGCAGGAAGCAAGCCAAACTGACCTCGGGTCCGCGGTGTTGGGGGGCGGGGGCGGAGACAACTCCAAGCATGCGAGCCACTGCTTGGGGGGACCCCGCGGGCCCGCACCAAGGGTCACGGCGAGGGGCCGCTCTCGGGAGGGCCGAGAATCGAATCGATGAGTCGGATCGGCGACAGAAACAAGCCGGATCGGCAAAGTCGGCAGCCAAGTCGGCAGAGGCCGAATCGACGGAGGTCGGCAGGCGAGCGGGCCTCCATCGAGGAATCGGCGCCCAGGTCGGCATCCGAAGACGACCCGGATCGGAATCGGGGGCCATCGAGATCGAGCCGAGTCGAATCGGAGGAACCGAAAAGCGAGCCCGGCCTCCAGCTCCGCCCTGGCGGCGTCGCGCGCCCACTCGGCCTCCTTCAGCTCCTTGGCGGCCTTGAGCGCGCTGGCCTGGCTTCCGCACGGGCGGGGTCAAGGGGCCCCAGGACACACAAATAAATACACACAAATAAAAATATTCTCCATATTTTCCTATATTTTCTGGTTTTTTGTCTTCCCGCCCAATTCCCATATTTTCCTATATTTTCTTGGGGATCGACGACTAATTGTGTCTGTGTGTTTTTTTCCCTCCTGACGGGGGCGAAACGGGGGGAGCCCCGACCTCCCCGGAGGAGGCACAGGCTGCACGAGCAGAGGGGCCCCGTGGGGAGACCCACGCGGGCCGCAGCAGACGTCGGCGCGTAGGCCGTGCTGGCTCCTGCGACGCCAACGTCGTGCAGTGACGCTGCGGCACGGGAGTCGGGCAACGGCATCGGGGCCGATCCAGGTCGGCCGCGCGCAGAAACGTGTTCGGCGCGGAGGTCCCCGCGTGTGCATCTCGGTTCCTGGCACTCCCGTCCGCGAGTGTCAGTATGAGAGAAGATCAGCCTGTGGCGGCGGAGCACTTTCTGGCAGCTCCTCAGCGTGGTGCCCACACACTACGACTGCCCTATCGCTGTGAGTATGGGGCTCTCAGACGAGAGGACTCTGGGGTGCCAAACAGGCAAGCCGCACGAGACGCACCACCATCTGCGCCCGAGCGGGCAAGTGTGACAGCCCCTGCGGGCTCCCACCTGGGCTGCCAGAAAGCACGGAACACCCTCACGAGACGTTCTGAAAGGAAACGAGTCTGGGCCACCCAAGCACAGCAGGAGCAGGAGCAGGAGCAGGAGCAGGGCGCGAACGAGCAGGAGCAGGAGCAGGAGCAGGAGCAGGAGCAGGAGCAGGAGCAGGAGCAGGAGCAGGAGCAGGAGCAGGAGCAGGAGCAGGGGACATCCCCACAGTCTGGGCGCGCACGAGCAGGTGTGCCACCCGAGCCGCCGCGGCCGAGGCCCAGCTCCGCGAGGCCCGCGGCCGACGAGATGGGGGGACTGGCGCTGAGGGGCAGAAACATCGACCTGGAACCGGCGATATATATATATATATATATATATATATATACATATATATATACACATATATATATATATATATATATATCAATAAATGAATGTATGTATCGCAAAATATCGACGATGGGCCCCCATTAGAACGACTCCGAACCTCCCTGGGCGGGGCGGGGCTCTCGGGCGCCGGCCCCGCGATCTGTGAGCGACTCGGCGCCGAGGCATCCCCCCCCCCCAGGTGCCTATCCCCCCTGCCGTCACCCCTGGCGTGGAGCCGACGTCCCGGGACCCCGGCGGGCGGCGGGGCCACAGGTGGCCCGAGATGATCCTTAGGTCTGGCATGCCCCCCCAACAGGCAGCGTTTCTGGGAAACTATATATATATATGCAGCGTTTCTGGGGATATATATATATATATAATATATATATATATATATATATATTATACATATATATAATATATATATATATATATATATATATATATATATATATGTATATACGCTTTTAAAAAATATTCGAAAATCGCCAGGAATTGTCAGAAAGTCGTCCCCCGACTATTTCTTCCATGTTTGGGTAGTCCTCCTGCCGAGGAACGGGCCCGACCTGCGATGTTCCACCACCACCACCGCCGGCCGAGGCCCCCGAAGGCCGCTCCCCGAGGCGACACTGGCGGCGCGCACAAGGGGATGGAGGGAGGGGGGAGGGCTTCTTAGAATGAAGGGGCCCCAGGACACACAAATAAATACACACAGATAAAAGGATTCCCCATATTTTCATATATTGTCTGGGTTTCTGTCTTCCCCCCCACTGCCCATATTTTCCTATATTTTCTAGGAAATCGAGGATCAATTGTGTCTGTGTGTTCTTCTCCTCCTGATAGAAGGAGGCTGCTTCTTAGAAGGCGCCCTTACATCTACAGACAAGGCCCAGGCCGTCTAAGAAGCAGGGGTGCTTCTAGGAAGCCCTCCCCCCTCCCCCCGCCCCCCTCTGCGCGTGGCCGAGGATGCATCCAGAAGCCCTGGAGCTTCGGAACGCCAGGCCCCGCTCCACCTCCCAAGGCCGCCCTCTCCCGCCGCTATCCCGCAGGCCGTGCGGCCCACGTGCATCCACTGCCCGCCGAAGCCCCCGAAGGCCGATCCCCGAGGCGATGGCCATGGATACATCCCCGAAGCCCACGGATTTCTCCGACAGTCTCACGCCACAAGCACTACGATTTCAACGAGACGGCGTGGCTACAACATGAGAAAACGGATTAGTGGGGACTGTCAGAAAATCAGCTCCTGAAGTACGCATTGTCCTGAGTAGACCCCCGACGCGCGCAGCTTCTCATGCGAGGCCATGGCCTCACCCGCCTCGCCCTTAAACGGCCCGGGCGCATGCCCGCACAGGCGTTCCGTTCCGTTCCGCTCCGCCCTGGAGCTGCGGAACCAGAGGCCTCCCAGACGGGGCCGGAGCAGATGGGGTCGGAGGATCGCGCCGCATTGCCGATGCATCGGCGATGCATCGACGATGCACCGGCGATGCATCGGCGGTGCACCGGCGATGCACCGGCGATGCATCGTCGACGTCGGCGATGCATCGGCGACGGTGACGCGAAGCAGAGCGAGTTGCACATCGAGCCGCATCGGCGATGCATCGGCGATGCGGCGCGATCCTCCGACCCCATCTACTCTGGCCCCATTTAGGAGGCCTGGACTCAGGTCGGGCGTGTCCCCCTACAGACGGATTTTGGGCGAAAAATAAAACAGACCCAAAAAGCACTCATACAAAATCAACAACAACAACAACAACAACAACAACAACAACAACAACAACAACAACAACAACAACAACAACAATTACTAGCACGTGGGGACACTCCGTTCTCACCAGTGCCAGGGTTTTCATAGGAGGCGGGCAATACCCCCACTTTGTGGGGGGGCCGGTTCAAGCTCTACCAAATTTCCAAACGACTCTTCGCCACCACCCACACCCAGCTTCCCGCCCTATGACGTTCGGACACTTCACTTCGTGGCATGCGGACGACCGTGGCTACTATTCAGGGCCCCGCGGCCGACGACGACGGCGTGCGCGCGCGAAGAAAAAACGAATGTGTCCCGCATGGTATTATTTGACAGGGATGATGGCCCTGGCAGGTGCGCAACCGTTGTTGCAGAAGTTCGAAAAAGTTGCTCGCAAAAGCCCGTTTGACAGAAATGATTAAAAAGTGTTGGGTTTCCTACGAATCCGCAAGAGCGCGCGGGATGAATTTTTGACATTTTTTTTGAAAAACCATTGGTTGTTTGATGTTTTTATGTTAAAATCGCTACGAAAACTAAGGTTTTGGAAGGATTTCGTCTTGCGCGCGCGAATGTCCACTTTACCTTATTTTTTGCAAGGGATTCTTGAAGTTTGGTTATGTTAGAACAAGAAATGTCCACTTTAGCTTATTTTTTGCAAGGGAAAACCGATCGTAACAACACAACCGGATCCGGACCAACCCGTTTTGCCTGAGACTTCCTCACGAAAATGATGAAAATGAGGCTGCGGCCTAGGCGCGGCGGGGGGGTCGTGCACCAGGGGTCCCAACAATAATTATTCTTTAAATAATAACAACAACAACAACAACAACAACAACAATCATTTTACCCGAACGCGTGGTGTTCTCCCCAGTGCCAGGGTTTTCATACGACACCAGGCAATACCCCCACTTCGTGGGGGGGCATTACAAGCTCTACCAAATATCCAAACGACTCTTCGCGACCACCCAAACCCAGCTTCCCGCCCTATGACGTTGGGACACTTCACTTCGTGGCGTGCGGACGACCGTGGCTACTACACTGGCGTGGGGTACACACCCACAGAACTTGGTCACTTATTCGGGGCGCGCATGTGCCCAGCATGGTGCAATTGTGCCATACAATACATAATACAGAGAGACAGAGAGAGAGACAGAGAGCAGACAGAGAGAGAGACAGAGAGAGCGGAGTTGGTCACATTTTTGGGTCAAGTTCCTGGGATGATGGGAATACACAACTCTGTTACATTTGATAGTGTGCACGACACACATGAGATGATACGTACTCGCAAGATAGTTGCAAGAGCGTGCGAAAGTAGCTCGCGCGAGCTCATGTAACATAAATGTTGGAAAACCATTGGTTGTTTTAGGATTCGGACAGCGCGCGCGGGTGGAAATTTTGAAAAGTCGTGCAGGTGTTTTTCGAGGACCTACGGTGCGATTCGTGTGATTTTATGATGCGCGGTGCTAAAATTCTTAAAAACCCAATGGTTTTTGGAGATTTCGGCGTGCGCGCGCGAAGAAAAAACGAATGTGTCCCGCATGGTATTATTTGACAGGGATGATGGCCCTGGCAGGTGCGCAACCGTTGTCGCAGAAGTTCGAAAAAGTTGCTCGCAAAAGCCCGTTTGACAGAAATGTTTAAAAAGTGTTGGGTTTCCTACGAATCCGCAAGAGCGCGCGGGATGAGATTTTGACATTTTTTTGTTGAAAAACCATTGGTTTTTTGATGTTTTTATGTTAAAATCGCTCCGAACACTAAGGTTTTGGAAGGATTTCGTCTTGCGCGCGCGAATGTCCACTTTACCTTATTTTTTGCAAGGGATTCTTGAAATTTGATTATATTAGAACAAGAAATGTCATTTTATAGTGTTTTTTGCAAGGGAAAGCGGGGGGGAACAAAACAACCGGATCTTGATCACATCGAATTACCTGAGGCTTCCTCACGAAAATGATGAAAATGTAGCTGCGGCCTAGGCGGCGCAGGGGGGGGGCCGTGCACCAGGGGCCCCAACAATAATTATTCTTTAGAATTAATACAACACAACAATCACTTTACCCGAACGCTCAGTGTTCTCACCAGTGCCAGGGTTTTCATGCGACGCCAGCCAATACCCCCACTTTGTGGGGGGGCAGTGCAAGCTCTACCAAATATCCACACGACTCTTCGCCACCACCCACACCCAGCTTCCCGCCCTATGACGTTCGGACACTTCACTTCGTGGCCTGCGGACGACCGTGGCTACT